GTTTCTTTGCATTGGGTTAGAACATGTTCTTTTAGCTCACAGAAGTTTCTTATTAGCCACCTTCTGAAGCCTGATTCTGTCAATTCATCACACTCTTTCTCCATCAGGTCTTGTTCCCTTTTTGATGAGGAGTTGTGATCCCTTTGAGGAGGAGAGGTATTCTGGTTTTGGGTGTTTTCAGCCTTTTTGCGCTGGTTTCTTCCCATCTTTGTGGATTTACACCCAAAGAGTCACCTCATAAAGGAGAGCTCAGACCAACATTTGGTGGGTATCCTTCTGGGACAAAGATAGCAGAAGAAGAAACTGGTAGCAACTCTTAATGTTCTGCAGCGGCTACAGGTGATCCCCAGGCAAGCAGGGCCAGGAGTGGACCTCAGCAGTCCTACAGCAGAGGGGCCAGACTGTTAGAAGGAAAACTAAGAAACAGCAATAACTTCATTATCAACAAACTGGACGTCCGCTCAGAGACCCAATCTGAAAGTCAGCAACTACAATAAAGACAACAGGTAGATAAATCCACAAAGATGGGAAGAAACCATTTGTTCTAATAGTGTTCTTTTTCCTCCCAATTCAGGATCCAGTGAAGAATAGCACATTGCATTTAGTTGTCGTGTTTCTTTATTTTCCTTTCCTCTGGAGTTTCCTTAGCTTCTTTTTGTGACATTGGCACTGTGACAGGTGATATTGATATTTGAAGAGTCTAAATCTAACCCAGTTGTTTTGAAGAGTATTCCTCAATTTGTCCTCATGACTAGATTCGAATTAGACATCTTGGGGCAGGATTGCTCTGAGGGATGTGTTTTTCTCAGTGCATCACATCATTATTGGTGCTGTGAAATTGGATAATGTGATTAAGTTGATGTCTGTCTGGTTTCACTATATCCTTTTGCCAACAACCTGTCATTTAATGGTGGTTACAGTAACTTTTTTTTTTTTTTTTTTGAGATGGAGTTTCGCTCTTGTTACCCAGGCTGGAGTGCAATGGCACCATCTCAGCTCACCGCAACCTCCACCTCCTGAGTTCAGGCAATTCTCCTGCCTCAGCCTCCCAAAGTGCTGTGATTTCAGGCATGAGCCATGGTGCCTGGCAAATATTTCTATTTTCTGGTAGAGACAGGTTTCTTCGTATTGGCCAGGCTGCTCTCGAACTCCTGACCTTGTGATCTGTCTGCCTCGGCCTCACAAACTGTTGGGATTACAGGTGTGAGCCACTGCGCCCGGCCTTTTTTTTGTTTTTTTAATTGTACTTTAGGTTCTGGGGATACATGTGCAGATCATGTAGGATTATTGCATAGGTACACACATGGCAGTATGGTTTGCTGCCTCCATCCTCCCCATCACCTACATCTGGCATTTCTCCCCATGTTATCCCCTCCCCGACCTCCCCATCCCCCTGCTGTCCCTCCCTTGGCCCCCCCACTACAGACCCCAGTGTGTGATGCTCCCCTCCCTGTGTCCATGTGTTCTCATTGTTAAGCACCCGCCTGTGAGTAAGAACATGCGGTGTTTGATTGGTTACAGTAACTTCTTGAGGATAAAAACTGCCTTTAAAAAATTTTCCTAATACATGCAGCTCGTTTAGGACTTCATAAAAGGTAGATAAGGTACCTCTGGACATTTTATTAAATAAAGGCCTAGCATACATTGTCATTTATTCTGTGAGTATTTAGCTGGGTTTAAAAAATTTTAATCTAATAAAATAAAATCAATGAATAAATCAGCTTCTGTCAGCCAGAGTCTGTAAAATGCAGCACCTGTCTAAACATCGATTGTTCTCTTGATCCCAAAACACAGACTGATTGAAACATAGATGAGAGAGAGAGTTTTCCTTCTCCTTTATATTTGTTCTAGAAGAGGCAGAGAATGTTTTTTGTATTCTTGAGTTACAATATTGACTTGTTTAGTGGGGTAGTAACTTGGAAGGGCCAAGGACAAATTTCCCAGGGCGTGGAATATTGTGAATGACAGAGAAGGGGCCATGATTTGGAAATGAAGTAACAGTGCACTTGGGATGGATCCATTGGCCCTGAAGAAAAGTAACATTTTTTTTCCCAGTCAGCTATTCCAGGAAGAGATGTCTTTTTTTTTTTTTGAGACAGAGTTTCGCTCTTGTTACCCAGGCTGGAGTGCAATGGCGCGATCTCGGCTCACCGCAACCTCTGCCTCCTGGGTTCAGGCAATTCTCCTGCCTCAGCCTCCTGAGTAGCTGGGATTACAGGCACGCGCCACCATGCCCAGCTAATTTTTTGTAGTTTTAGTAGAGACGGGGTTTCACCATGTTGACCAGGATGGTCTCGATCTCTTGACCTCGTGATCCACCCGCCTCGGCCTCCCACAGTGCTGGGATTACAGGCTTGAGCCACCGCGCCCGGCCTAAGATGTCTTAATGCCTCATATTTTGGAAAGCACAGGGAGTTATAACTCAATTTCAAGCAAAGATAGGAGGAAGATTTCCTGATTAAGTAGGCAAAATGACGTGTGGTTTGATTTGTCTATCAATTTTGAATGAACTGTGTCACATGCACTAATTATGCATTGTCCTTCCTGTGTTAAGTTCCTTTCAGATATGGTAATCTTTGTGACTTGAGTGAGTGTGTTTGTGGTCATTTGGTCAAAGCAGCACTTTTATGAAATTGTACCTTGACTCACTGGTAGCATTTGGTTAGCTTCACAAAGCTGATATGATTACAATGCTGATGTCACTACGCTGATGACCTAAGGCCTAGGTCGATCCCTGTGTTAACCACTGTTAGTTTTGCTTTATTTATTGACTGGGAAATCACCTATCTGTTTGGCCCATGCTTCTGAAATCTTGAGTTATCGTTTTCATCATCTCGCCCCACTCCTGGTTTAAGAACCTACAGGGGTCTCTGTTGCATGTTATGTCAAGTGCAGACCCATCTACCTGATTTTTTAGGATTCTCCATTACCAGTGTTTAATTCATCCAATCCAGTCTCATTTTCTGCAAATCCATAGTTACTTTCCGCTTCATCCAGACTTCTTACTCTGTGACCTTGAGTGAGTTATTTAATTTCTGAGTCTTGGCTTCATCTCTATAGAGTAGGAGTCATAATAATGGCTCCTACATTTCAGGGTTGTTTTTTTTTTTTACCCAACGGGAGGGGAGGGTGAGGGGGGGAGGGAGGGATTGAGGGTGGGTTTTTTTTTTAAGATAATTAACTGAGATAATATCTTTTAAAAATAATAGCCTTCAGTTATGGAAATCATAATAAGTACAAAACCATGCTAAACTTTTAAAATGTGTTGTCTCATTTCACTGTAACAGTTTGCTGAGGTGGGAGGAGCTGGTGGTAGTCATGATAACGCTGGTGCTTACTGAGCACTTACTGTGTTCCAGGGACTTTACATGTTTCCGTTTAACCCTGTAAACACTCTTACAAGGCTGATACTGTAATTGCCATTTCATAGATAGGAAATTTAAACATAGTGGGATTAAGTAACTTGCCCAGAGTCACATAGCCAAAGAATGCAAGAGCTGGGTTTAGAATCCAGGCCACACTTTAGATGCTAGTTTCATCCCATTTTTATTTTAGAAGGAAAAACTTAGGGAGTAATTAACTAAATCTCTCACAGCATATGAATGGCAGAGCTAGAATGTGAACCCAAATCTGATTTCAAAGTTTTTTTTTTTGAGACAGAGTCACTCTGTTGCCTAGGCTGGAGTGCAGTGGCGTGATATCAGCTCACCGCAACTTCCGCCTTCCGGGTTCAAGCGATTCTCTTGCCTCTGCCTCTGGAGTAGCTGGGACTACAGACACACACCACCATGCCCAGCTAATTTTTGTATTTTTAGTAGAGATGGGATTTGATCATGTTGGCCAGGATGATCTGTATCTCTTGAGCTTGTGGTCTGCCCACGTCGGCCTCCCACAGTGCTGGGATTACAGGTGTGAGCCACTGCGCCTGGCCCAAAACTATGTTCTTTGTCATACTCCACTGCCTCCAGACTGATGAAAACAATGCTTTCTGATGTGCTGTTGTGGAGTGGATCGATTTTGACTTAATATATGTCGCATTGTTGTTTCTTCACTCACAAAAGATGGCATATTGCCTGGATTAACTATTACACAGGTAATCCAGCTTTTGGCCACTGCTTGCTACACTGACTCTACCTGTTGAGTTGATGTAGGTGGTGAACACCTTTGGAGCATAGTGAGTATTTGGCAGGATACTTGACCATGGCTGGAATTCTCACTGGTAACGTTAGTGTTAAGTGGGCCATTTCTGTTGATTCAGCAGGAGGACGTGGCTGCCTAAGATGTCAGTAGCTGATGGGAGGCAGGTAGGAATGGGGAGAGGACATGGGTGTGTGATGGGACAGCACTTCGTTTCCAGGTCTGCTCTGAAATTGTCCTCAGCTAGCTAAACATGTTGCACTTAGGACATTTCTCAGTTTCAGTTTTAGGTTGTAGTCCCCAAATTCCAAAAGTGGATACTACATCTTGACAGGAATTCTTTTACAGATATATGATACCCAGAAAGGGGTATGAGCCCAGACTGATGATAGCTTACTTTTTTTTTGCAGGAAGGATGCCAATTCTGCGCTTCTCAGTAACTATGAGGTAAATTGGACTGTTACATTTTCCTCTCTGATAGTCTGCCCTTTGTTCCTAAGATTGTTGAATTCATTTTGGTTAGAAATGACTGAATTCAGTCTGGGCGCGGTGGCTCACGCCTGTAATCCTAGCACTTTGGGAGGCTGAGTTGGGTGGATCACTTGAGGTCAGGAGTTCAAAACCAGCCTGTCAAACATAGTGAAACCCCATCTTTATTAAAAATAACAAAATTAGCTGGGTGTGGTGGCAGGCGCCTGTAGTCCCAGCTATTTGGGATCCCAGTTGAGGCAGGAGGATCATTTGAGCCTGGGAGGTGGAAGTTGCAGTAAACCAAGATCGCGCCACTGCACTCCAGCCTGCGCAATAGAGTGAGGCTCCATCAAAAAAAAGAGAAAAGGTCGGGCGCGGTGGCTCAAGCTTGTAATCCCAGCACTTTGGGAGGCCGAGGCGGGTGGATCACGAGGTCAAGAGATCGAGACCATCCTGGTCAACACGGTGAAACCCCGTCTCTACTAAAAATACA